TTTAATATCTAGCCAAATTCATTTAGAGACTTCTTTCCTTTCACTTTTGTTAGTAGGTATTCCACACTGTGATATTAGAAGATCTGCCAGGAAGGGTGAAATATTGTAAGAGCCAGGGTGCAAATTTACTGTGAATGATGTGGTAATCAAGGTACTCTCTAGAAATTTACGTTGTAGTGAATTATTTTCTCCTTCGATCACAGTAGCATTTTTTATGTCAAAATTGTGGCCAGTCACATTACGGTAATCAACAAACATTTTTGACATATTGTTCTGTAAAATGTCCCTTATTATTCATATAATCTTTTACTTTGATTTCTTAAGGTTTCGCCTATGTATTTTTTGTGACAAATATTACAGGCAATGGAGTAAACTTCTCCTTCAGGTTTTAGCTTATTGTTTTGTTTAGTATTGACTAAGGCTTTTATTATTTTGGATGTAGTAGTAACAAATTTTATGTTGAATTTAGATAGATTCTTTTCAATTGTAGATGTGACCTGTTTGTTGGTAGGATTATATATATTTTTTTGATTCATTGAGTTTTTCAAGATGGGCTGTTTTTTTTGTTGTGGAATATTTTATAGGCCTTTTGTTTCGCACTGAATACAAAATAATAGTGTATTAGGTTCCATATATATATATATATATATATATATATATATATATATATATTCAACCACCTGATGAATATTCATGAATGTTCTCAAATTTAAAAGCCTTGATAGACCAATGACATAATTGCTTTTGTATATAAACACATGCAACAGAATAAACCTTTACATTTACCTGATGAGAACCAAAAATTTTTGCTTCTCACCAGTCGAGGTGCAACTAAATGCACCGAAACAAAGTTGCATCTTTGTAGCAAGTAAATTGTTTTTGTCTATATGAAAACATTATAATATATATTTCTTACCAGACTTTTTATATGTGAATTTCTGGGATGAGGAGTTATCCTTATTTACATTCAGGCTATTGTCCCTATCACAAGTTTTTGTCCATTGTGTCCTCCAACCTTCATCAGATGCTTTCTGGGTAAATCTTCAAGGAATTTTGAACTGAACTCTTTATTTAATCTATAGGGTAAATTGTTCTTGATCTTCTGTCCATGTCTGAATATCTTGTTTTTATTTAATTCTGCTCAGTTATTACTTGCCCTATCTCCATAGTGTCCAAGTCTGTATTACCCTGCCCAGAGACTGAATTCACAATTACTATGTCACCAAATTCATGAACTGACACTTTAATCCACTAGACTAGCTTATTTGTATTTTCTTTTTGTCATGAACACAGAAAAAAGACTTTATAAAAAAAAACCCAAAAACAACACCTGTCTGAAAGCCCTTAGCTATTTTGTATTAATGAAAAGCAAGCCTACCTAGGGCAATGGAATCTTAATTCTCTTCAAAGAAATCTCTGTAGTCCTTCATACAGAAATCCTAGAATCAGTTGCTTAAATGAGTCTGTATTACTAAGACGTTGCTCGTACAATTCAAGATACTGCTAGTTCAATCTGTAATTCATGCTTTCCAAACACTTCAAAATGTAAAATCCATCTTTTCTCTACTCATTGCTTTAGCTCTCTTTTATCAGGCCAACACTACGGTTGACCAACCAATCAGCGTTCTTCGCTTTTATTCTCAGTTACCCAGGTAAATAGCCTCCTCCAGTTCAACCAATCAGCACACGACTTACTATTGGTCAAAGCATGCCAAACTGTACAAAAACCCTCATTACTGCACATACTGCTGGAATTGCTAGACAGGAGATTAATACTATTTCCAAGGAGCAAACTTGCCGATGCCACGTGCTGCATGTTGAGGTAAGACCCTTATTTTCCTATGCACCAGATGCAAGCCACTCTGGCTTGCTTGCTTCTATGGGACTGTTCACCACAGTATCATATCCACTTTTCAAAATAGTTTGCCAAATATTCTAAAAAGCTGCATCATTATGTTCTGTTTAATCTCGTCTATGGTTTGAAATCTTCCTTTCAATGGTAATTTCCATTTCGGAAAAGCCATTGTCAGAAAGCTAAATCTTGATGGATGTAGGGCTGATATACATAACTTATGCAATATTTTTCAATTCCCAGTAAGAATAAACAGGTGAATTGTCATAACAGATGTGATGGTCATACAGCACAAAAATCTCACTCAATCAGTAACCTTACAGGAAAGTGTCTGCATATGCAATAAGGTATTCTCTGATTATTTGTCAAGCTTATATCAAAGTTGTAGAACTGGTTCATGAGATATTCAAAATGGCTATATATTTTCTCTTTCCAGTTAGGTAGACGGCACTTGCTAGCCTTGGTTGGCAACAAGTTTAGGAGAAATACAACTGAAGTCAAACCTATTAGGTTTAGGGCTGTTAACACCATCTTTGTTACTGAAACTGCAGCAGCATCATTTAGTGTGGTGTTTGCTTTATGGTATATCAACCATCTACAGATTATTTAATGCCAAATTCTGTAATTTTCATAACCAGACATAGATCCAGTTTGCATGAAAATCAAAAAAGTAGACATAGGTACAGTAAACAAAGGTTATCTACTATTTTCGGTTGGGGGGGTGCACATCTGCAGTGAGACATGATCGGTATCTGCTTGATCCCAGCTGACAGGGCATTTTGTGCGTTGTTGCAGCCCTAGGTCCTATGGAGAGTCTACAGCTTTTAATGACATATAGAGGTATATACAAATATTAGTTTTAGACACCAATACCCACAATATAATACTCATTAAGATTTATATACTTTACTTATCAATATTCAGTGTTAATTTGACAATAATAATAATGAAAATAGTATTAATAAACAAAATGATTGATGTAACTTTTCCAATATTTTAAGTTAAGAGTAGAGTGCAATTTAAGTAAGTGTTTGACAATGTTAAACAATGTTTCAACAGAATGTTTTCGTGCTATATTTAAGCAATACTTATAATTTTTTTTATATATTTTATACTTGAAAAAATTGTTTAAATATAACTTGAAGACATTCTGTTGAAATATTGTTTAAAATTGTCAGTGTTTTTTCTTTTCTTTATCTTTTCTTAAATTGTGCTCTTCTCTTAACTTAATAATAATAATGTGTTTTAGCTAATGAACAATAAATGATAATTTGATAAATCATTTAAAACAAAATAGCAAAATATTATCGAAGGGAGATAACTCCTGTTTTGCTGATGGTATGACTTTTAAAAAAGAGCAGAGTAACGAAGTCTATGCAATTTGAGTCAAGTATAAATAAATGTAATTCTATTAGGATACAAGAAAAAGAAAATAATTTTTTTTTTTTTTTTTTAAGCGTTTTACCCCAAGCAAGGCGGGAAACCACTAGCACGCAAAAGGTTACAGAGAGTTGGAGCGAGAGCAAATAGGAGTGATAGAGGAAAGGATGAAGAGAAAGACAGGGGATAGATCAAGGCATCTGGAGACATCAATTGATATTACATTTGAATAGTTGAAGATTATAGCTATCAGGGAAACAGGAAAAGGGGAGGGAGTTCCACAGGTGAGAAGTGCAAGACATGAAGCTATTGTAGAAGAGACAGCTACATTTAACAGTTTAGACAGTGAAAAGGTGAGAGCGAGATGCCAGCCTAGTAGAACACTTAAATTGTTATTAATATTACTATTATTCTCTTCCTTAGTACCGGTCCCATGTGAAGAATAGGACCACAGCCTCACTACACTAGGTGTCACTCCTGCATTTTTTGAGGTGGGGGTGATTTTTTTTAATACTAAGAGTTCACCCAATATAATGCTCAAGAGCGAATCAAGATAGAGAGTTACTGTAAAAATGGTTATTATGAATGAAGTGTAAATCAACGAAAGAGGAGGTGGTACAAAGTGAATATTATCAGGATAAGGACAGATAATGACTGACCCATGACATGTAGGTTTCTATAAGGTGAAGTTTCCAGCCCCAGGCTCATTCAATTTTGAATTTAAAGTTGGCCTTTTCCTAGACAGAGAGTAGTCTAACCTGCTATTTAACCCATAGCTTTTCAGACTGGACTATTATATTATTATGCATTATTAAATTATGATAAATATATTATAATTCTGCTTGTTCCTTAGTTAATTAGCATGTACATTACATCCTGCTTGTACCTCATAAATAAAGGACTATTCTGTTCTGATTGCAAGGAAAAATGTAAAAAGACATATCAGAGACACAGTATGGTTTCAATAAAAGAAAGAAAGAGAAGATACAGGAGGTGATAATGCTCTCATATGTTTAACGTCTGCTTCAGTGAAAAAGAAAAACTTGTCAGTTTTTAATCTTTTCATTTATACCTTCTTTAAATGATAACCTGCATGCATATTTATGATGGTTATTACAATATTTGGTTAAATTTATTAAGCTCAAATATTTAACAGTGCAACAGGGGAATTTCCACAGGTATTTTGTAATAATGGAAATCACAATAAGCTCATTCATTAAATATCACGATATATCAATGTTGTAGCATACCTACGGATGATAATGGGTATGTTCCCATTCACATAAATACTGTAGTAAATACTGTATGTTGGTCTGCAGTTGGAGATTCATCTCCAGCTGTTCTGACCAAACTCTCTGCCTCTGGGCAGAGAGGATCCCCAGACAAGGGCATATCAAAGGGTAGAGTCTCATCTCAGGAAACAGCTATCTGACCCCATTTTATACTGGGTCTACAGGGAATTTTTGGCTGAGCCTACGGGCTTGGATACCCCACATTAAATTCGGCCTTGTGTCACATCTGACTGCATGGGGCGGTTGGTAGATATCCTGCAGTTGGAGATTCATTGTAGAATTCACTTGACTCACTTCTAGCAGTTGACTACTTCTTCTATGCATTGTGAGTGAATCTTATATGTGTTGTTCTTGTCCTAAGTATTATTGTTCATTACCAACCTTCGTATCCCTAGGTTACAACAATCAAAAAACCGTGACTTTATTTACGGGTACTGTTAGGTATTATTATTAAAAAAGTTAACATTTATACTTACTCTGTTCATCATGGCACAGATATCTTCACAGCAGGCATATTGCATGAACACTTTGACAATCGCTTGAATAAACCAACTGCCCTGTTCACGATTGCGCCAAGCTCGATAACCTGAAAACAATTATTTTATATTCAATGAGAACTACCCTCTGATAAAGACAAAAAGAAAGAAAATTTGAGACTGAAGAAATTTTGTTAAATAGGAACATGTTAAACTGTTTGGTTTTAAAAGATTGCTTTCATTAGGAAAAAAATATTTACAGAAACTTAAGAGAAAAAAAAATGTATGTAAAATGGAATATGTGGAAACCAATTGGATGTTTAAAATTTTATTGTTGTTTTGCTCAGTAAGACAATCATCAATACAAGTGAAACAAAAAAAAAAAAAATGGGAATCTCCTGGAATTATCCAGAGATTGTCTTTACTTTCAGAAATATTCATACAAATCAGCACAGAAAAGGAAACTGACAAGCTGAGTTCAAATTCCAGTCTAGTATTTTGCCTTCATTCTTGCACAAATATCCTTGGGAAAGGTATGAATCTATATCTTTTCTCCCAACTATAGGTTAAATAACAATGAAGACTGGGCTCTCCAGTATTGAATGGCCACCTGACTGGATAAGCTATTTTGAATGCAAAACTGTGTAGAAGCCAATAGAATTGATTGATTTGGTTTTTACAGTTTATCAACTCTCTGTGGAATATGTAAATTTGAAACGTATTTTGGATTGTGTTATATATCGTACCTATGAACACTAATGTGTATGTCCCAATCCTCATCAAGACATTGGACAATATGGTAAGTGTGGGTAATATGCTGTCTAAGTAGTCCACCACTACCAGTGGTTTACCTATTTCACACTGCTGGCAAGTATTGTATTTTGTTGATGTTATAAAGATCACCATTTCATTTCCAACCTCTGTTTTGGATAATCCTCATTCAGTAACCGTTCATAGGTTAGAACAGATTGTAAGAATAATTTTTTTTTTTTCTATAAGTGAATATTACATTAATAATTTTTTGGAGATTATGATTGTGTATCCCCCCCCCGTTTTATATGCGCGAACGTGAACGCCTGGAATTTAAACATGGCTCTCTGAGCCACTATCCATTACACCACCTGCACATTTAGAAGGCAACAGGAAACTACTCCACTATCTTTCCCAAGAAATCATGGCAATTCAGATGATAGTCTCTGTTCTGAAGAGATGCACTTAAAAAAAGAAGGAAAGTATGCCAGAAGGAAATTAAAAAATCTTTTTTTTAAATGTCATTATTGGACAGGTTAAGTTGAAGATTTCCTTACACAAACAAAACAAGGCATTAAGAAAATATCTGTCTATATCTCAGAGATGAGGTATCATGATTACTTGCATTATTTACATTACTCCGACTGTTATCCTCACCTTCATTGCCATATTCATAATGTTTTGGCTGTTGTACGTTCAGACATTCAGTTGATTGGAATTTCGAACCAAACCCTTTTTTTGTCCACCTGGGTAGATTGTTCTAGTTCCTTGTGCCATGCCTCATCCGGGTATCTCAGTTATTTCCCTTTAACTCCCCAAGTTTTTGGTTCACCATTGTAAGACTACACAAACATCATAAAGTGGTAACGAGGGGAAATAGAAAACTCAGGCATAGCTGACCACATATGGAGTGAAAAGAGAGATCACTGCCCTCTCTGGGATGAGGTTGAAATAATAGACAGAGTGTATCACTGGAAAATATGAAAACTTAAGGAATCAGCACATATGATAAGCCACAAAAATCTCCTGAGCTGACCAAGCATAGAAATGAATACAATATGGGAACCAGTAATAAGGAGTGCTAGAGAAAAACGGTGAATAACAACAAAAACATGCAATATAAGCCCTGGTAAAAAAAATACAATAATAACAGAAAAAATGCAATATGAGCACTGGTAAAAATATGATGCCAAAAAATTAGGTTTATAAATTCCAAAAATTCATACACAGATGTTCTCAAGGACACATGGCCTAGTGGACAAAGACGTTGGTTAGATCTAGTGACTAGACTCAAAGAGTTGTGAGTTCAATATTTGTAGTGAACTAAAACCTTGAGTTGAGTTAAAGGGAAATAACTGAGACATACTGAAGAAGTATGGCATGTGGAACTAGAACAATCAACCCCCTCCACCCTGTGGACGAAATAAAAGGTTCGGTTTTAAATTCCAATCACCAAAAACGTTGTGAATATGAGGAAGATAAGGAAAACAGTCTGAGTAATGCAAATAATGCAAGTAAGCAGTAAGATAAGTATTGAAAAAAATAAATAAAAATAACTCACCTTGTTGAGTTGGATAACATATAATCATATCCGATTTTGAAGGTGCCCACCTTAGAGAGGAAGCACTTGAAAATGTATGTGGTCCATCTGCTTCGTCAACAGGTGGAGTCAGGTCCCCCATTTTTGTTCGATGATCAACATTGGCTAAAAAAAAATAAAAATATTGAGTCATTTTTTTTTTTTTTTTTTTTTAAAGTATTGAATTTCTGAAACAAGACATTCTTTTTTAAGTGAGTTTTAGTTTATGCATTCTCCATCCTTCTTTAATTGTCTATCGTATTTGGCAACATTTTGGAACTTTTAGTCAATTACAATTCATGATATTCAATGACAACAAACAATAAACCAGGACATTGAAAATTGTTTCAATGATTCACCAAAGACAATCAACAAATCAGATGTTCACTGGTTTGGAATCAATCCTTTCCAGTTTATTTGATGCCAAATTTTGCCATTTTGATAAACAATAAAGATAGACATGGTTTGCATAAGAGTCAAACAAAAAGCTAGACATAGGTTTGGTTTGTATAAAAGTAAAATAAACAGACATAAGTAAAGTAAATAGGTGGTCCTTTTTTTGGGGGGTAGTCTTCTGTACAGAGATGCAGTCAGCATATTCCAAACCCTGAATAATAGGGCAGAGATGGTTTTTGAAGTTCATAAAAATTAAAAATTATGCTGTTTCCATCATTTCCACCCTCCCTTTTTTTCTTGAGGAAAGATTTATAAAATTCTAGAAAAGTTTATAAACTTTCTTGCCATATTTTTTTTTTTTTTGTTTTAATCATCATTTTTCAGCCATTTTACTTTTTGATGTTCCACAGATAAAAGATACCATATATGGTAGCTATAGAACAATATATAAAAATGCTGAAAATTTTAACAGTTTGATCTACTTTAACCCTAACTGCAAAAAGATTTTTTTTTTTACACATTTAATGATCCACTGGAGTTTCAGCAAGTCCCCACACAACCCTTCCAACCTTAACTAAAATGAGCAAACATGATTGGTGGGTATTTTTTTTTTTTTTTTTACACATTAGAACCAGATTTTTTTAATACATTGGCTTTACACATGACCCACTGGAGTGTCATGGTGGTACATCAGCAAGGCCCACACAACCCTCTGGTGGGTTGTTTTCCAATTTTTTCTATGAGGATTATTGGGGAGTGGGATGCTATGATTGATTGCTTATGAGATCATGATACACTAGAACCAGATTTTTTTTTTTTTAATACATTGGCTTCTACATGACCCACTGGAGTGTCATGGTGGTACATCAGCAAGGCCCACACAACCCTCTGGATTTTCCAGGATTATTCTTTTCTGATTGATTGCTTATGAGATCATGATACACTAGAACCAGATTTTTTTTTTGCTATGATTGATTGCTTATGAGATCATGACTAGAACCCCTGGTTTTTTTTTTACATTGGCTTTCTATGAGGATTACCCACTGGGATGCTATGATTGATTGCTTGGTGGTACTAGAATCAGATTTTTTTTAAATTGGCTTTTACATGACCCTCTGTCATGGTGGTACATCAGCAAGGCCCACAAACCCTCTTTTGTTTTCCAATTTTTTTATGAGGATTGGGGGGATGCTATGATTGATTGCTTATGAGATCATGATACACTAGAACCAGATTTTTTTTTAATACATTGGCTTCTACATGACCCACTGGAGTGTCATGGTGGTACATCAGCAAGGCCCACACAACCCTCTGGTGGGTTGTTTTTTCTTTTCAAGGATTATTTTCTGGGATGAGGATTATTGGATCATGATGGGATTTTTTTTATGATTGATTGCTTATGAGATCATGATACACTAGAACCAGGTTGTTTTTTTTAATACAGGATTATTTGGGATCTACATGATCCCACTGGATTTTTTTGTCATGGTGGTACATCAGCAAGGCCCACACAACCCTCTGGTGGGTTGTTTTCCAATTTCTTTTCTATGAGGATTATTGGGAGTGGGATGCTATGATTGATTGCTTATGAGATCATGATACACTAGAACCAGATTTTTTTTTTAATACATTGGCTTCTACATGACCCACTGGAGTGTCATGGTGGTACATCAGCAAGGCCCACACAACCCTCTGGTGGGTTGTTTTCCAATTTCTTTTTCTATGAGGATTATTGGGAGTGGGATGCTATGATTGATTGCTTATGAGATCATGATACACTAGAACCAGATTTTTTTTTTTTTAATACATTGGCTTCTACATGACCCACTGGAGTGTCATGGTGGTACATCTTAAAGGCCCACACAACCCTCTGGTGGGTTGTTTTCCAATTTCTTTTCTATGAGGATTATTGGGAGTGGGATGCTATGATTGATTGCTTATGAGATCATGATACACTAGAACCAGATTTTTTTTACATTGGCTACATGACATGTCATGGTGGTACATCAGCAAGGCCCACACAACCCTCTGGTGGGTTGACCCAATTTCTTTTTCTGGATGCTATGATTGATTCATGGATACACTAGAACCAGATTTTTTTTAATACATTGGCATCATGACCCACTGGAGTGTCATGGTGGTACATCAACAAGGCCCACACAACCCTCTGGTGGGTTGTTTTCCAATTTCTTTTCTATGAGGATTATTGGGGTGGGATGCTATGATTGATTGCTTATGAGATCATGATACACTAGAACCAGATTTTTTTTTAATACATTGGCTTCTACATGACCCACTGGAGTGTCATGGTGGTACATCAGCAAGGCCCACACAACCCTCTGGTGGGTTGTTTTCCAATTTCTTTTTCTATGAGGATTATTGGGAGTGGGATGCTATGATTGATTGCTTATGAGATCATGATACACTAGAACCAGATTTTTTTTAATACATTGGCTTTACATGACCCACTGGAGTGTCATGGTGGTACATCAGCAAGGGCCCACAACCCTCTGGTGGGTTGTTTTCCATTTCTTTTCTATGAGGATTATTTGGGATGCTATGATTGATTGCTTATGAGATCATTACACTAGAACCAGATTTTTTTTTAATACATTGGCTTCTACATGACCCACTGGAGTGTCATGGTGGTACATCAGCAAGGCCCACACACAACCCTCTGGTGGGTTTTTTCCAATTTCTTTTCTATGAGGATTATTGGGGATGGGATGCTTATGAGATTGGGTCATGGTGTCATGGTGGTACATCAGCAAAGGCCCACACAACCCTCTGTGGGTTGTTTTCCAATTTCTTTTCTATGAGGATTGGGATGATTGATTGCTTATGAGATTGATACACTAGAACCAGATTTTTTTTAATGAGATCATGATACACATAGAACCAGATTTTTTTTTAATACATTGGCTTTACATGAGATCCCACTGGATTTTTTGTCATGGTGGTACATCATGGTGGTACATCAGGCCCACACAACCCTCTGGTGGGTTGTTTTCCAATTTCTTTTCTATGAGGATTATTGGGGTGGGATGCTATGATTGATTGCTTATGAGATCATGATACACTAGAACCAGATTTTTTTTAATACATTGGCTTCTACATGACCCACTGGAGTGTCATGGTGGTACATCAGCAAAGGCCCACACAACCCTCTGGTGGGTTGTTTTCCAATTTCTTTTCTATGAGGATTATTGGGGTGGGATGCTATGATTGATTGCTTATGAGATCATGATACACTAGAACCAGATTTTTTTTTTTAATACATTGGCTTCTATGATTACATGACCCACTGGAGTGTCATGGTGGTACATCAGTCATGGGGCCCACACAACCCTCTGGTGGGTTGTTTTCCAATTTCTTTTCTATGAGGATTATTGGGAGTGGGATGCTATGATTGATTGCTTATGAGATCATGATACACTAGAACCAGATTTTTTTTTTAATACATTGGCTTCTACATGACCCACTGGAGTGTCATGGTGGTACATCAGCAAGGCCCACACAACCCTCTGGTGGGTTGTTTTCCAATTTCTTTTCTATGAGGATTATTGGGAGTGGGATGCTATGATTGATTGCTTATGAGATCATGATACACTAGAACCATTTCTTTTTTTTTTTAATACATTGGCTTCTACATGACCCACTGGAGTGTCATGGTGGTACATCAGCAAAGGCCCACACAACCCTCTGGTGGGTTGTTTTCCAATTTCTTTTCTATGAGGATTATTGGGAGTGGGATGCTATGATTGATTGCTTATGAGATCATGATACACTAGAACCAGATTTTTTTTAATACATTGGCTTCTACATGACCCACTGGAGTGTCATGGTGGTACATCAGCAAGGCCCCACAACCCTCTGGTGGGTTGTTTTCCAATTTCTTTTCTATGAGGATTATTGGGAGTGGGATGCTATGATTGATTGCTTATGAGATCATGATACACTAGAACCAGATTTTTTTTTAATACATTGGCTTCTGCATGACCCACTGGAGTGTCATGGTGGTACATCAGCAAGGCCCACACAACCCTCTGGTGGGTTGTTTTCCAATTCTTTTCTATGAGGATTATTTGGAGTGGGATGCTATGATTGATTGCTTATGAGATCATGATACACTAGAACCAGATTTTTTTTAATACATTGGCTTCTACATGACCCACTGGAGTGTCATGGTGGTACATCAGCAAGGCCCACACAACCCCTCTGGTGGGTTGTTTTCCAATTTCTTTTCTATGAGGATTATTGGGAGTGGGATGCTATGATTGATTGCTTATGAGATCATGATACACTAGAACCAGATTTTTTTTTAATACATTGGCTTCTACATGACCCACTGGAGTGTCATGGTGGTACATCAGCCCACTGATTGATTGCTTATGAGATCATGATACACTAGAACCAGATTTTTTTTAATACATTGGTGGACCCACTGGAGTGTCATGGTGGTAAGGGCCCACAACCCTCTGGTGGGTTGTTTTCCAATTTCTTTTCTATGAGGATTATTGGGAGTGGGATGCTATGATTGATTGCTTATGAGATCATGATACACTAGAACCAGATTTTTTTTTAATACATTGGCTTCTACATGACCCACTGGAGTGTCATGGTGGTACATCAGCAAGGCCCACACAACCCTCTGGTGGGTTGTTTTCCAATTTCTTTTCTATGAGGATTATTGGGAGTGGGATGCTATGATTGATTGCTTATGAGATCAT